ATATATATATTAATTATAAAATGTATAAATATTACTGTTTAAAAAACATGAAAATACAAAACACTGAAAATTGTTTAGAGCAATCGAGATTTAGTAAAAATGCATGTTTTAAAAAGTAGAAATATGTACAAAGAACATTCTATGCTATTGAATAATTTAGAAAAGCAAAAAGCTCTAATACTTAATTGTAACAATTCAAATTTCTCTCTGACACTAAATAGTCCTTTTGCTCTGGCAAGGCCCTTCAATATGTCAGATCTCACTTTTCTCATCTTGAATGAAACAACTGAATTGCATTGTGCTGATCTTAAGATGCAATAAAAACAACTTTAATGAAACCATGGCATCTGATAGGAAAAAGAAACTGATATTGGATAGCAAAAATAGATTAGAATATCTTACTTAAGAACATTCAAGTGCTTTGTGTAAGACAGTACAACTAGAGCATTCTGTAATTCTCTCTAAATAGCATATGTAGAAAGTTATATACAAGCATACAACACTCAAACTAATTCTTACTACAGAGAAAATGCCCTTTTTAAAATTAAATCTCTCTCTGCTTTCTGTATAACTGAATGACATACTATGCTAAAACAGTCCTTTTATTTTTGCTTTAGATTGACTTTTTCAATAATAAAAGCTATTAGTTTTTCATATGCTTCTTTATTTCATGTAAATTTACCTTTCTTTAATATTTTCTTTAAACTTCAAACTATGAATAGAAAACAGAAAACTTTAGGTATGTTTTGCCACTTTCCTTTGAAGCAAGGGCAGGGAGATGTCACATTTTAATGTTTCATGTAGTCAGCAGTATAATAGTGGTTTTTTACTTTTTAATTCACAGTTAAAGAAAAAAGCTAAATCAGCAATACAGAAACAAATAATTGCAAATAAAAAGTAAAAGTAAAAAATATTCATTGCTGTTTGGAATGATTTCTATACTTATCATTTTTAGTAGGCTGTACATTTGATTCCATTCTTCCCTGAATCATTTTCATTTGAATTTCATAGGTCTAACATATTTATTATAATATTTTCATAAACATGTAAAATAGTTTGAATTGTTATATTTTTATAAGACTGAGAATACCTGTTAATTATTGTTTTGAGATAAATGAAAACAATAGAAAAGTTACATATTGCTGAATAGTAAATTAGCCTAAAACTTTGTAACTACAAACAGCTAAAGTTTGTTTTCTCTTCCAGTTTCTGACAGTCAGGAATGTAACAATTGTGAAGCTGGATGATTTTATTTTATTATTATTATTTTGGCGAGGTTTTTGCTATAAGGTGTGTACACTCTCCAGAGAGACAGAAAGTGAGAAATCACCCTCCGGGGGGATGGCCACACCATAATCCCTTCTCCTTCATTCTCCTCTTGGGATCTTGGGCACACATGCACACGCGCCCAGCGTGAGTTTAAGCCACTGGGTCTGGAACTCAAACTCCGGTAGACTACATGGGAGTCCAGTGACATAGTCATTACTCAAACTGCTGGTTCCAAAGCTGGATGGTTTTAACTCAGAGTTTGTGACAAGGTCACAGTCAAACTTCTAACTAAGCAGCAATGGTCTCAATACTTTACTGTGGCTTTGGAACCTACTTCCAAGATCACTCATGATTGTGGACAGGTCTTGGGTCTTCCTTGGCTCTGCCTAAGGGTTTCACATACTCATCCAGTGGTCTCCTTATATAGCTGCTCATATTTCTGCCAGAAGGAGTAATGAGAGAAAGAGAGAGAGAACACATGAGAAAAAGTGCATGGTACAAAAAGACTTTGAAACGTGTATGGAAAATAGTATCAAAGCACAAGTTTATCCTAGTGCAAAGAAAATTGGAAATCTAGGCAAAGTTAATAATTTGCATTTTCTAAGACCTTTTAGAAGGCCTTTCATATTCTGCCATGTATTATTAGCACATTAAAGAGCCCTAATAAAATAATTGCAGGGGATTATAAAAAGGTGTGAATACTTTGGACCAGCAGTTAGCATAATTGCTACATCACTGTACTCCCATGTGGTTGTCTGCCATTTGAGTTCCAGACCCAGTGGCTTAAAACTCATGCTGGGCGCATGTGCATGCATGCCCAAGATCCCGAGAGGAGAATGGAGGAGAAGGGTTTGTGCTGTGGTCATCACCCCTGGGGGGTGATTGCTCGCTTTCTACCTCTCTGTATCTCTCTGTCTTTCTGGCGAGCGCATGACTCTATAAGAAGAAAGAAAAAAAAAAAAAAAAAAGAAAGAAAAGGTGTGAATACCAACAATCAATACAGAGATCTTTGCAGGCCCACATTAGAGGCTGGTTATCACAATCTTTTCTTATCTTCCCCACAGCAAAATACATTCACTTCTTCATAAAGTTTCCCTAACAATCTTATCCCATCACATCAGTTCAAATTCAGAATTTTTTTTATCTAAATCACATCTAGTAGTAAATCAAATTAGGGTACATGGGTAGGTTTAGGTTTGTGTTCTTAAGTATGAAGACTAGAATGCAATTTTTTTTTTTGAGAGATTTTTGTTAGAGAGTAAGTGCACTCACCAGAGAGACAGAAAGTGAGCAATCATCCCAGAGAGGGGATAACCACACTTCAATCCCTTCCTTTCCATTCTTCTCTTGGGATTTTGGGCACACACACACACACACACACATACACACACACGTGCCCAGTGTGAATTTCAAGACAATTGGCCAAGGACTCAAACCACAGTTGATCATGTGGGAGTCCAGTCCCTTAACCACTACGCCACCTATGGTCCCTATAGTGCAGCTTTTCTTGACTTGGGAAACTAAAGTGATGAGTTATCTCTTCTTAAAAGATCCACTGTATAATGATTAGAGTTGGCATGGAGCACCTGTTTTAAAAAGCAAAAGGAAAAGGAAAAAGTAGTGATTAGTTCTAACTAACTACATGTTATCTAGGCAAATGTATATTCTGTGAATCTGTCTCAAGGCCAGAAAATAATTGTTCTAGGCTTTTGGTTCACCTCCTAAATTCTTCTTTTTCTATGAATGTATCATGGCTGATTCTCAGTTAGCTTGTAGCCAGTAGAATTTTTGTGGGTCAAAAGATGTCTTTTTTTTTTTTGTATTATCTCTTTCCTTTTCAGTCCATCATAGTAACATTCTGAATATAGAATTCTTTTAAAAAGTTCATGAATGACACTGAGGTCTATAGCATTAGATAAAAGCTATAGTCACAGTCTCTTGGGATTAAATCTTTTTTATACCTTGTATTTCATCTGGGAAGGCTAAGGGACAATGACCTTATACTTCTTGAGAGGATGTATAAGATAGGTGTTTTATCTTTCAGAGGACTTGGTATTTGACATACAACATTTGATCTTTTCAAGGTCTTAACCAAAGATTTTTTTAGTCATATCTTCAGCTTTATCTTTGATCTATGTTTTTCTGGTAGTATTTTGGACTTGATATTTTCTTGAAATTTTAGCATCCTTTGCCCAATAGAAAGTTTGAGAATTTTCAAAAGCATCAAGTGTTGGTATATTGTTTAAAAGTACTTCCTTTATTTTTTCATTCCTCTCACATATTACTATATATCAGAAGAAGAAACCAGGAAGCAGTTTCAATGCTATAATTGGAAATCTCCTAACTGGGGAAATTATTCTACATAAATCAACTGGTGGTGTTTCTACACTTCTGAAATCTTTTCAAGGATGTTCACATCAAAATCTACTTTGGAAAATGAGACAGTATCTCTGTTCAAGATGGCAGCCCATGGTAAGAAAGTTCATGTCTCCTGTAGTAAATATTTATGGATCATTGTATTAGTTTTCTGTTGCTGCTGAAGCAAACTTGGTTACTTAAATTTACATGTGTGCATGTGTGTGTGTGTATAGTACAAATAGACTTCAAAAGGTTCATGGAAAATGAAATTAAAACCCTAGTTTATCCTATGCTAAGAAAATTTAAAACCTCTGCACAATATTTTTAATAGGTATTTTACATGCACTTTTTGGAGGCCCTCATTTTCAGCCACATGCTATATATGTATACATGTGTATAATTTACATATATATGACTCTATTAATAGTTCTGAGGATAAGCAATAGGAATTGTGTTTCACCAAGCTAAAATCAATGTGTAAAAATAGTTGCATTTCTTTCTGAAAGTTAGAAATAATTCATTTTCTTGACTTTTCCAGCTTCTCAAGGTTGCTTTCATTCCTTGGCTTATGGCCCCATCCCACTTTTGAAGCCATGAATGGCTGATCTGGTCTTTCTTATGCTGCTTCTCTAACATTGACTGTCTTGCTTTCTTCTTTCACTTATAAGGATGCCAGTAATTACAGGAAATCCAGACTAATCTCAAAATCCTTAACTTATTCACATATGAAAAGTATCTTTTGCCATGTAAATTAATATATTAACAGGTTCTAGGGCTGAGAACATAGAGATCTTTGAGAAGTCATTATTTTGTCACTCAAGTCTTTTTCTTGGAAACTGAAGATTTCTGTTCCTTCCCATATGCAAAATAAAATGATCCCACAGCAATATCTTAAAAAGATTAGAACAAATTACAGCATTGATTAACATTCTGGTCTTCATGACCACTATCCTAATTAGGCTCTGTGGATAATCTACCCTGGGTCAAAACTGTATCCCTTCTATGAGTCTGTGAAACTAGAAAACTTATCATTTGCTCCCAAAATCCAATGGTGAATAGAGATAGGATAGCAGTTATGGACATTCCCATGCAAAAATGGGAGAAAATTAATGGATTTAAAAAGTTATCAGCAGTCCCAACAATTTTGAAATTCTGCTGGGCAATAACACTAGGATTCGAAGCTTAGAAACAATCCACTTTAATTCAGGGCTTCCCATTGTGACCTTACAGTCTTCTTTATCTTTGCAGTTAGCTCTCGTTTTTTGCTTTATTTTATCTTGTTTTGTTTTGTTTTGTTTTGTTTTAGGAATGTAGCACACTTTTACAACAAAGTATAATTATGTCGATTTCCTGGTTATAAAATCTTGGGAAACCAGCAGCTTTTGTCTCATTTCTCTCTGTCTCTTTTGATCTGAACTGGCATTTTTTCTGCTGGTAAAAACTTTTCAGATGTTCATAAGCTTCCCATGTATGTCATGAGGATTTGTCTTATTAGATAAGAGGCTACTTCACAGATATTTTCTGAATAATTTATTATTTAGCATTGGCTTTTGTCAAGATGATAAGCAAATTCCTGATTCACATGCCTGCTCTCTTCAAAGAGGCTCTGTGTGAATGAGCACTGAAACCTCTAATCCCTTCCTAACCATTAACAAAGAGCTTTCCAGTCACATGCTTCTTTCTAGAGCATGACTTTGGACAATGAACCTTTTATTATAGCATCTTTTGCAATCTGGATAGGCTGAAAATTTTCAAATTATCCTGTACTAGTTTCTTCTCATTCTTCCCCAGTGTCTTTCTTTCCTTCTACATTTTACTATGAGCACCAAGAAACAACCAGGGCACACCTTACAATTTTTTCTTGGATACCTCTTCTAATGAAGTTCATCTTTCACAAAGTTCGCTTTCCTCCTAACCACAGGACACAATTCAGCTAATCCTCCTGCCACTATCTAACAAGAATCTTCTTTCTTCCAGTTTCTAATATGATACTTCTCATTTCTATATGAACCCACAGCATCAACACCTTCAATGCCCCTATTTCTACCAAGTCTGTTCATAGTAAGTCAGAAATTTTCTTTTAAAAAATAATCAATTATTTAATTTGATTTATTATTATTACTATTTTTAACTTTGCTATAGGGCGAGTGTGCTCACTAGTGAGAAATAGAGAGAGAAGGAAAGTGAGAATGTAAGCCACTAGGTCCTGGACTTGAACCATCATCAGCCATGTGGGAATCCAGCACGTTAACCACCACACCACCTACAAGATGATGCAGGTTTTTCTATTAGGTTGTCAGAAAAGTCATGAGGGTTTTTTCCTATGTTTTTTTTATTTAAAAAAATGTGTCTAGACTTTTCCCACAAACCAATATATTGTGCTCATCACTTTGTTGTGAGCTTTAACTAGTAGTGTTTTAAATGTTTATATCTCTGCCTACACTCTGTGGCCAATCTAAGCTTTTCTAGCATGGCAATCAAGATATTCCAATCTCTTAAGTATTTCTTAGTTCTTAAACCACTTCCACATTTTTAAACACTAGTTACAGCAGCACACCTTTTTCAGATACCAATACCTATAATAGTTTCCTAAAGCTGCTATAAAAAGTTATCACAAGCATGGTGAGCTATACCAACATAAGTTTGTGATCTTACAATTATGGAGAGAAAAAGTCCAAAACAAGTGTCACTGGGCTAAAACCAAGGTGCAAGCAGACTTGTACTCATTTCTAGATATTTTATAGGAAAATTTACTTTGTTGGCTTTTTAAGCTCCATCTATTTTCAAAGCCAACAATAGCCAGTGAAGTCTTTCTAAAGTTGCACTGCTCTTAGTCCAATATTTCTGCTTTTCTCTTTCACTTATAAAGAACCTTCTGGTTACATCGGGATCTCTTGACTATTCCACCATATTTTCCCTATCTTACTATTGTTCACAGAACTATGCCAGTTTCTTTGACATATGAAGTTCTAGAGATAAGCAAACAGACATCACTGAAAGATCACCATTATTTTTCCAGTAAGGTTTGCTAGCAGCTCTCTCATAAAATCAGGTTTTAAAAAGCAGTTCTCCAGTTGTAACAAAACCCTGTTTCTGTACAACATTCTGATGGATCACTTGAAATCACCCCTGAGATTTGGGGAACAAAGAAAATTGGAACAAATATGAAATTTGTTGCATGCAATATTTTGAGTAAAATGTCTTTGGCTTAGCTTGAGGTCTTCTGCTAGCATCAACAGAATTGTAACAGCCTCACTTGTTACCTGCAAATGGTCAAATCTCACATATTTCACAATATTTGACTGCTTTAGGCTGATTATCCATTTATGTAATTGTTATATAATTTTACTGATAGTGCTCTAAACTTTCTTTCACTATATTACCATGATCCCCCTTCCCTATTTTCTAATAACCTTTATATATCACTTTTTCTATAAACCTCCATGTCCAGCCTTATCAAAGAGCACAAGGCTGAACAGTTTCCTAAAGTACTTCAGACTTATACTGTAATTCTTCTTAACATCTATTTTCTAGATTCAAACACACTCTTACATTTCAGGTTTATTTTCTAGCATCCATTTCTGTTTCCCAAGTGTGCATTTGTTTTCTTAAGCTGAAGAACAAATTATCTTAATACATAGCAGCTTCAAACAATTTTTCTAGTATATTTGTATATGGAATTATCCAAAAATAAATCATTCATATTATTTTAGACTAAAAAACCTTGTTGAATGTCTGGTAACACGATTCATGGGCCTGAGACACTTTAGTATTTGTCATTGGTGGATGATAATGAACACATGTTTCAACTCCATGACTTGCTTGGCTCCTTGGCGTCTCTGTGGCTAATCTATTATCATGTTTCCTTCACCATAGACACAACCTAGTCTTGCTAATGTCTAAGCCCATTAGGTATGTCCCTGTCTCAGGGATTCTCCTCTAACTGGTCTTTCTACCTGTAATGTTCCTTCTTAGCTATCTCCATGGCTCCTTTTTCCTGTTTGCAAACCGTTGATCAAAGGGCATCTTCTTCGTGAGTTTTCTAATTAGAATTCATTTTATATACATGTAGCTAATTCTAAATTCTTGTATCAATTATTTATTTATTGCATGTACTTACAAGTCTCTATAATGCTATATGATTTATTTGTTTTGTTTTTGTGATCTGCCTCTTATACTAACATGTGATTTCCATGAGGCATCATTTCCCTCTCTTTAAGGTTTTTTCTATAAGGCACAAGGGCTTGCCAGAGAGAGACACACAAGAGAGACACAGAGAGGGAAAAAGAGAAATCACACCCAGGTTAGGTGGTCATGCCACAATACCCTCTCCAACATTCTCCTCCTGGGGTTCTGGACTTGTACGTACACAAACGCAGCAAGGAATTCAAACCACTAGATCCAAGACTCAAACCGCTATTTGCCTTGTGGTGGTCCGGCACCTCAACCACCATGCCACCTGTTGGCCCCATGAGGCTTTTTTTCTTTTCTTTTCTTCTCTTTTCTTTTCTTCTTTTGTATCTTTCTTTACTTGGGAATCTCTAGCACATAGAATACTGACTCAAAATTTGCAAAAACTCAAATAGTAACTGCTGAATAAGTCAATGTGTGGAGCTTCTTCAGGTAACAAGCTAATCAATTGATTTGTTGACTGAATAGAGTGTAGATGATTTTTTTCTTAGCCCTCATGAATATATTGATATAATAAAATATAAGAAAGTGATCTTAGTTAGAAAATCACAGCATCACCACATATTTATTTGAAAATGCTGATGATTCTCTTTGCTATGACGATACTGGGGGTTATTATGAGATATAAGACTATTTTGATTAACTATCTTTTTTTTTTTTGCTCTACTATTTTATAATCAATTTATGCCAAGTTACCACTGGTAAATGACACAAAACAAGCCAGATCATTCTAATTTAAAAAGTTGTCCCATGATTTTTAGCATAACTTTATTTTTTAATTTTATGATTCCTTGTTTATATTTAATCATTGTACATCTCTATTGCACACCCATATAGTTCTTCAAACTCTATATACAATACATTACAATCACAACTTCAAACTAATGAAAAGAAACTATATTTTATACTGACATGAAAAGTTG